ACAGAATCCAGCAGGCAGGGCAAAGCTAAGAGGAAATTTTAAAACTTGATGCATCAAGCTGGAGGCACAGAAGCAGCAGGGAGACCATGCCAACCCTTCCTCCCATCTCTTAGGCTTGAGGTGCTTTTCCTTGTAGTTAATTTAATTCTTTCATGTTTTTCTGCTTGTTTCATGCTGTTCTCCACCCTTCTCCAACCCCTCTCTCCCTCACTGCTGCTACCACCTTGCCATTCGCATACTGTGCTCATCTGTGCTTAGCTCAGCGAGCCCATATGTTGCTCTTATACCACCTACATCAAGCCTTCCAACTGCTGTTCAACGTTAGCTTTTTCTCACATTCCTGTTTAGAGAAGACAACCAGCTTCCTGGTTAGAAACGAATGCAAGCTTGGGACAAGGTCTGAGACTACAGACTATGGAACACATAGGGCAAAGGAATATCTTTTATGAAAGTGTGTGGCCAAAACTGGACAAACTTTGGGGCACACAAGCCCTTCTTCAGTCTGGCACAGAAGTGATATTCCTACTATCCCAATGCCTTGTCCTACGTCCTTGACTTCTGCGCACTGCAAAATACACCAAGAGCAGAACATACTTGTACAAGAGGAAAAGCTGCTCATCTTTCTCCACACCTAAACACAGGGTGAGGGCAGTCCTGCAAGGCAAGAGCCCATCCTGCACCTGACTAAGCAGGGGGTGTGAAGGGAACACAGTGAGCAAAGAGGACTTCAGGTTAGGCTCACAAACAGCAGGATCCAACGCTGACTGGATTCTCCAAGTCCCACACCCATTCCCCCCACCCCAAATACCAGCTTGTACACCAGTTCTGATGATCTGCCAAGATCAACCGGTTTTTGAACTAGTTTCCCTCTTCTCCCCATCTCTCCAGCTCAAGGGGACTGAGGGAGGCAGCATTTGCTAATTCTAGTAAGATACTGCACTGGAGTCTCTGGCCAGACTTGCCTACTAAAAACACTCAGTGGACTCTGGAGTGCTTTGCATGGTGCAATTGCAGCTGCATGGTGTGATTGCAGCATGGAAACTAGGCAGTTAAAAGATTAAAGGCCGGTGCAGTTCCTACAGGAGGCAGATGCTCTAACTGCTGAGCCTCAGGCAACAGCAGGGCAGCATCTCCACTTCAAGCACCTGTAATGACCCCAGCACAGCCTCCCACCTGGCAAGCTCCCACCTTAGACAAGATCTATGCATCTCCCTCCAGGTCGCAGAGGAGCAAGGCAGGCCTTGCCTCAAGTAGGGGCTTCTTTTGGTTTAGCACTTCATGGGAGTTGGTGCTCAACCTGCTGGTGCTAGCAGGCTGTGTTCAAACCCCACGTTCCCCCAGCACCCAAAGATTTATCCTGCCCACTGCAGCACTGCTGTCCTGCGAGCACCTCCCAACACAAAGCCTTGTAACCCACCCTTGAAGGCACACAGGGAGCTCGACCTGAACTTTTCCAGGCAGTTGCTAGAGCAAGACACTGTTCATGTAAGGCCCATGGTGAGGACTTGTGCTGGTTTTGACTGGGATAGAGTTAGTATTTTCCATAGTAGTTTGTATGGGGCTATGTTTTGGATTTGTGCTGAAAACAGTGTTGATAACACAGGGATGTTTTAGTTACTGCTGAGCAGTGCTTACACAGAGTCAAGGCCTTTTATGTTTCTCACCCCACACCACCAGCAAGCAGACTGGGGGTGCACAAGAAGTTGGGAGGGGTCGCAGCTGGGACCGCTGACCCCAAATGACCAGAGGAATATTCCATACCATATGACATCATGCTCAGCATATGAAGCTGGGGGAAGGAGGAGGAAGTGGGAGGGCATTCAGAGTGGTGGTGTTTGTCTTCCCAAGTAACCATTATGCATGCTGGAGCCCTGCTTCCCTGGAGATGGCTGAACACCTGCCTGCCGATGGGTAGTAGTGAATTAATTCCTTGTTTTGCTTTGCTCGCATGTGCAGCTTTTGCTTTACTTACTAAACTGTCTCTGTCTCAACCCATGAGTTTTCTCACTTTTACCCTCCGACTCTCTCCCCCATCCCACCAGGGGGGAGTGAGCGTGCAGCTGTGTGGGACTTAGTTGCCAGCTGGGGTGAAACCATGACAGGACTCCATCAGGTCTCCCTCCCCTCCTTCTCCTGCTACCTCCCCCAGTTCCAGCTCCAAAGCACTGCCCCACTTGCTCCCTAGCTCACCTCAGCAGCAAATGATGTGACCATCACATGGGCACATAACCTTCCAACAGATCTGCCGCTGCAGCTCTTCATGCAGCTTCCAGGTGGCACCGTGCAACCATGCCTCAGACCTCTGCTCCTGCTGCTGAGGCCAGGACTAGAGAGGCAGAGAGAAGGGAGGGAATGGATGGTGCTGGCAGCAGTGCTGTCACTGTGTGTTACCACCTGCCCTCCCAGCAGAGCTCTGGAAAGAGCACATCCTGCACACCCCAGATATTATTACAACAAATTTTGGTTTCACTGGTCAGAGAACTGGAAGTGCAGCACTTGGGCTCCTGCAGCAGCACTTGTGTTTGCAGGGAGGGGGACAGGGCAGCACAGAGCATGTGTTGCAAAAAAGCTGTCGGGTCCAACATTCATACACCTCTGGGTACAGAAATCCAGGTGGCTCCATCTGCATGGCATGTTTATAACCATGCCGGGCAAGACAGAGCACCACAGCCCCACCAGGAGTCCCTGACAGGGGTGGCTTAGTCTTGCTGCACTCAGCAGTAAGGATTTGGGTTTGGTTGGGTTTTTTGGGGTGGGTTTTTTTTTTTTTTTTGCACCTCAGACTTCCTGGCAGTCTCTCCTTATGGGAAGAAAAAGGAAGCTGTGGATAAGCCTGTGTAGCTAATATCGGATTCTGCCATTTTAGACATACCAAGAACATATGCCAAGGCTGCAGGGTGGCTAAATGGAAAGTGTAGACTATCCACAGCCTGATACTCCTCTCCTAGTCCAACTCAGGCAAAAGCATGTGCCACCTCCTTCCCTGCAGCCTATGCTGAGAAAGTTAAGGAAGAGAAGCTCATGCTTCACAACAAGCCTGAGAAACACCCCTATTTCTAGCATCATTGAACATTCATTACTCCATCTGCATGGCAAACCTGCAAGTCAAGCCCAAAGTACTGTAATAAAACACAGCACACAGAGACCACCACCACCTTCTGCATGTTCTGGTATGCCCTGCCTGAAAGGTGGCTACATCTCCATAGGAGCGCAGCTCTGCTTGGGAAGGTAGCTGCTGGCAGCCTCTTGTGTCACGCCTCCTCCAGCCCTCTCTTCACTCTGCCGAAGGGGCTGCAGTGACAAACGAGTGTCTGTTCTTTACTCCAGTTAGCCCCACAAAGGCAGTTTGGTTAAGAGAACAAGCAGATCATCTGTACCAATGCTCAGGAAACTGTTTGTGAGGCTCCTAAGGACCTAAGGATGACAGCAGCTGTGTGACACCGCTGGGCACCCCTCTGTGCCGAGTGTTCTCTTTGCTGCTGCTGAGAGCTGGGGCAAGAAGAATTCAGATCAACCTGCAGAGCAGGGAGCCAAGAACATTAATTTTATTGACCGTCTTGACAAACTCCAAATTAGAAAAAAAAAAAAAACAAAACCCACCAGCTACTGCAAAACCTTTCTAGGAGATACAGACTTCTTGGAGTAGAAAATTACCATAGTCTTCTACTTTGGTAAGCACAAGTGGAATGGAGCTTTTGCATCACTGGGTACATGCACATACACCAAAGGAAAAATGCTCAGACAATGACAAGAATAAGGACAGCAGGCCTCAAAGAATACTTTTTAATTCAAAATTAGCAAAGCAGGTCACATTTTAGATGCAAGGCCTGAAATAATTCACACCTTATTCTTGTTTTGTAAAGAACTGAGAATTCAGGAAGAATGCAGAAGCCATTTAAAAACTTATTTCAGATGCAGAAAAGTTGGAGGGGAAAAAAGTTTTGTCTGGATCTTTAGCTAATGAGCTCAACCCCAACTGCCCCAAACCTCCTCCACACTCCCAGCCCATAAGGGAACCCGCTTTGCCAAGTTTGCCCAAAGCAAGTTTGTGGAAGGAGAAAGTCTGAGGCTGCTGGACAGCCTCCCCATTCTACCCTGCTCCTTCAGCAAGGCCACGCAGCAGGAGCCAGGGAGCCACCAAGGAGCTACCCAGCACATAAGGCTGCAGCTTCACCACACCACCTCTCTTAGGGCTGGTTGAGGACAGCACTTCTGGTGCTGTGAAGGAGACCATTGCACTGACAAGCACCTGCGTAGGAGCCGCCAGAGAGAAGCGAGGCTGTTCAATATGCATAAGTGAGATAGGCTGCAAGAGCAAGGCAGGAGCTCTGGCAGAGCACTCACAGGCAGCTCTAGTCCACCATCTCCCTCCAACACTGCAGTCCCTTGGACTTGTTGCTCTTGTTACTGTGGCTCCCCACCAGCTACAGGAGGAGCCTCTCCAACAAAAAAAGAAACCAGTCCCCCACTGCCACCTCAGCTTGGAGTCCTTTGCTCACTCAGCAGCTGCAGGTCAGGAACCAAACGCTCTCCCCGTGCTGCCGAAGGGACTCTCCAAGGGCAGCAGCCCGCAGGGTACAGGCGCAGCTGCCGATGCAGGAGGAACTGCATCGCATTCCTTGAGCCCGCTCACTGGAGAGGAAGCGGAGCACATCAGCAGGGAGGAAGGGAAGCAAAGCTCTCAAACACACCTCCTGTTTCCTCTCTCTTCACTGGCTCCAGCACCTGCTGCACCTACAAGCCAGAGGGCTGTGCACTGGCCTCAGCTGCCGGGTCGTGCCCACCCCAGAGGGTGCAGTGGGAAAGGAGCAAATGTCATCTTCCCTCCCGGTCCCGCCTCAGTTACCGCAGCACCCCTTCGTGCTTGCTGTGGGATCCGGCTCCCCTGCTCCCATGGGGTTGTCAGACACGGAAGCAAGCTCATTCCCCACAGATGCTGGTGGCCCGGTGCCTTTGGCTGAGCGGTTTGGGACGCCCCTGCATCCCCATCCCCTGGGGACTCAGAACACCGGGATCTTGTCCCTGCGCACTGTGTCCAGGTCATCATCCAGGGTCAGCAGGACCTGAGGAGGAAAGTGCGAGGCAGCCTCAGGTAGCTGGCCAGCCCACAGCTGGGGAGAATGACCAGTTCCCGATGGCATATCATCACAGGGGGGCTCCACCTGAGCCATGTCTCCAGCACAAACAGGAGTCACAACAGCAACCCATGTAGATGTGCCAGATTAACTCTGTTTCTGTAATGGTCCCAGCAAGTCACTCTGGCAGCACAGCTGACAGGTAGCTCTGCCTACAGTGCTGCAAGGATCTGAGGCAGATAATGCTGCCCCAACCATGATGGAGACGCTGCTTGTAAGCTGGTCCCTCATCACTAACCTCTGAAGAGTCATCCAGGAGGCAGCAGGGTGGGAATTGCTTGACCACAGCTCAGACATTGCATGTGGCCAGATAGCTCCTTCACAAACAGTTTGCACCTTGCACAGCTAGGGTTAAGGTCTCCCTCTCCACTTCCCCAAAACACTATTCTGTGACCCCATTGCAGGGGATGCCTCCACCTTTGCCAGCACACAGACCATCAGGCCTGAAAAGAGGCACCAAGTAGAGAAGCACAGGAGTCAACTGTGGAAGTGAGGGAAAGCCCAGGAGTGAGCTAAGCTCCACACCAGTGACCCTACTGCCTGGGACAAAGGGAGTAGGATCCCTTTCTGGGACGTCCTCACAAACCCACGAGAGGGTTGGTCACACCAGCAGCCCCTCAGCTTCCCCACAACAGCTGTGTGACCCACAGCCCCAGAGGGAATTTGAGGCCAGGAGGCACAGAGAGCAACAAGCCAAAGGAGGAAGCCTGATCCCACTGACAAGGAGCATCCCACTGTGAAGGATGTCTGGAGGCAGAGCCAAGCAAAGGAGTTGGGGCACTTCTGTGGGGTCCTGGGGCAGCCACAGCTCCATGCCAATAGAGAGGGACAAGGAGGAAGAGGAGGAGGTGAGGCCACACAGCAGAGCGGGAGGCTCAGCAGGACTCACCAGAAAGGAGAAGAATAAGGCAGCCGCAGAGAGGAAGTGCCAGACATCATGGTCATCGAAGAAGCCCAGCAGGATGCACGGCCGGTTCTTTTCCCGGGACTCTGCTGGAGTCTCCTAGGAGAGCAGACAGGGTGTCAGGACCCAATATCCATTCACACAGGGCCCTAGCTGGCCACGTTGGACCCTCTGGAAATCGCCCCATCTTAACTCTCCATGCAGGAGACAGGAAAGAGGGC